ACTCACCCAGCCACACAACCACTCCCTCAACCACACAACCGAAATAAACACAACATACACACTCTGATGATAGATGTTTAGAGCAGGTGACTGAATTGACATTTACATCCTCATCAAAATCAGACCCACAGTCCCCACATTCCACAGTACAGGAAGAGTTGTCTCCCATCAATTATCATCCTGCAACTGGTCACCCTTACATATTGTGTTCATTTTACCAATAACTTCATTTAACCAGAACACAATTTACCCAGACAGTTTATAAATGAATGTGTATTGATTAGGATAAATCACAATTTCTATGATACCATTTAAAAAAAACACACCTTCAGACAACTTAGAATTAATGTTCAGTTTCCTATGTTACTGTTTGTTTGTTTTTTGTTAAACACCACACTTAGCAATATTCCAGCTATATGACGGCAATCTGTAAATAATCGAGTCTGGGCCAGACAATCCAGTGATTGATATCATGAGCATCGATCTATGCAATTGGGATCAATGACATAACCAAGTCTGCAAGCCTGACCACCCGATCCCGTTAGTTGCCTCTTACGACTGTGTTGGTCTGTACAAGAGCAGTAATAGGCACGGATCATTCCTTTATTGTGGTGAATGCCGTATCAAAGGAAAACAATACAGTATTTTTTGTGAAAATTTATTTGTCATTGAAATAAATAAAAATAGAAAAGACATTTAAGATATCATTTTTATCATTTAAAACATTATTAGTTATGCATTTTCCAGTGTGTGCAGTGTTTTGAAAGATGTTCTCATCAGTCTTGAAGTTATAAATATTCTCTGCACAGTACGTTTTTATTTTCATCGTTTGAGGGTTTTTGGATCTGGATTCCAAAGAAAAAACAAATAACCCCTTCAATCCTACAATCCTGTGAGCATTATATCAAAAATTTCCTGGGGCAGTCGGGTAGCCTAGTGGTTAAAGCATTCGCTCGTCATGCCAAAAACCCGGGTTAAATTCCCGACATGGGTACAATGTGTGAAGCCCATTTCTGGTGTCCCCCGCCGTGATATTGCTGGAATATTGCTAAAAGCGGCGGTAAACCATACTCACTCACTCACTCAAAAATTTCCTGATGATATACTGTTGAACCTCACTCTCTCACTCACTCACTCACTCACTCACAAACCACACAATAAACAATCTCTCTGCTTGCTAGAATAGTACTGATTGGTGTTGAATGGCATCCCCTCACTCTGTAGATGTCAAAACGGTGACCCAACACATATACAACCAGAAACCAGTCTTAATAAGAGGGATTTACAACTTTGTGGATATGATTGATGGACCAAACCAGGTGTTGTTAAGTGCTTTAACAGTTGGGTGAGAGTGAAGCGAGTGAATGTTGTTTAACGCCTCAGTCAGCAATATCCCAGCCAGTAAATGATTTGGCCAATGCCCTCAGCCAATAGTGAAGTGTCTGGCATGTACCATGTAAACATATATGTAACTTGTCAAGAGATAATCCTTACCACTCACTAATTTTCATGCCACTTAAGGTATCTTCCTAGCAGAGAGATCACGGGTGCGTTGCAAAGTGCGATTCACTTGCAAGCGATGTATAGCGATTCGCCTTACAACAGTGCACTACCTTTCACCCGCTTGCAAGCGAAACAATCGCTGGCTGAGGTCGCTTCATTCTGAAACCAAAATGGCGGCTGACTTCGACAGCGGAACAAGAAATTCTTGACTGGATCAAGGAGGAAATGAGTAAAGGTAGCCAACACCCCATCATCCTCAGTCTGCTCCACATCTTCAAAGTAGTCATAAATTTCATCAGCTCGTCATCGAGCCTTTTCTTTTACGCTCTCCTACGTCAAGGCAACCAAGCGGTAGTTGTGTCACCATTTTGGACAAATGCACAAGCACTTCGAACTGTAGCAGATCTTGGGATGAGAGATTAATTTGCTTTTTCTAAGCGATTCCTGGCTTGCAACGCACCCCATAATTAGATATGTGACCCAGCAGGAGGTAAAGAACTTTATAGGTGAAAAATCACACTTTGACTCTTCATTATATCTACAGCATCGTCGAATCACAAAAATATAAATCACAAGCTACAAATCATGTTTATTACCAAGAAACATGACATCACACATGGCGATCTTGACTGAAGTAAGTTGACATCATGGTTGTCACAATTTTATTCCAGCACCCATAAGGTTGGTTTTCTCCTGGTGGGTCACATCTATGGAAGTACAAGCATCCATCAAACACAAGTTTGTTACCAGTATCGCAAGTTTCGCAGTTGCTTCCTACCCATGAAGATCCGGGGTAGAATAGGTCTTCAGCAACCCATCCTTGCCGTAAAAAGCGACCATGCTTGTCGTAAGAGGCTACTAATGGGATCGGGTGGTCAGGCTCGCTGACTTGGTTGATGCATGTCATCAATCCTAATTTTGTGGATCGATGCTCATGATATTTATCACTGGATTGTCTGGTCCAGACTTGATTATTCACAGACCGCCGTCATATAGCTGGAATGCTGAGTGTGGCGTTAAACAAGAAACCAGCCAACCAACCAGTTGCTTCCACCCAGTTTGGGAAGAAACTTTGATGCAGCACTGAAGCACACATAAAATCACAAGATGGTGCCTAAACACTGACTGAGGACTTGAAGGGGTATCTTGCTAGGACAAACTATCTTGAACTCAGTCAACGCAACTAGCACATATTACACTCACTTGTAGTGAGAGTTGGTTGCATTACTAAAGGCCATAATAAATGAATTATTAGATTCTCCATACCAAACACTTTACCTCACATTGAAACTGTTTTGTTTCCAAATGCTAACAGTAGTACTGGGACGGGTAACACGGGTACTCGGGTCTGCTGGGTACTGAGTAGGATCCAGGTACCCACAAGACTACACGTGGTTAGTCTTGGATATATTGTTTCATGGCAAAAATTCACTATATAACTACAAGGTTACACGACAATTTTAAGTATCTAATGTTCGCATTTCTTCATGACTATGAACATGTTCCTTCTGACTTATATAAGTTTGAACAAAGCTAAAACGTCAGTAAACTTCAGTGTATGCATGACCAATCGTATTATACGTGTATCTAGATACATTCTGCCAGGGCTACTGTCAAACTATTCCCAATCAGACATTTTGTACCTATCTCTTGACACCAACAGCGGGTACCCGGGTAGGGTCAGGTAATAGGGGTGTGGGTACCCGGGTAGTAAATTTGGACTCGTCCAAGCCCTAGCTAACAGTATGTCCCCCCTTTTCTACTTTGATGAAATATATATAATACTACCAAGCATTTATGCTTCATGCAAATCCCATCTGTTAACAGTTAACATCCAACACATTGAACAGTTTCTTAGTTGTAAGATAAAATACTGAACATTTCAAAATATTTGGATGTAAATCTAATAATTTAGTGTCAGACTCCGGCGCAGTGGTGACACAGCATAACACCACTGCCACAGACTAATTTGCATATCACGTGACCAGACTTTTCTCTTGTTTGTAAACAAACACGCTTTTTCAGAAATCAGTATAGAATGGACTAATGCAAGTATTTGGGGCCCTTTACATATTATTTTACATAATTATATAGATATGCTACTACAACTGTGACAGTGAGTTGCATGACAAAATATATTTATGCCTCAAAGTGATCATATCGCAAGCCCTCCGTTTGGCTTCAATGACAGCACGTGGAGCTGTACAGCCAATGTAAACAAAGGATAACTACGCAAAAACAAGTAGATTTTCACATATTAGCATACTTTCTTAAAAAATGAACCATAACCATTCTTTGACATTTGTTTATGAAAATGTGTAGACTTGTCAAACATGAAACGGATGAAAAGCATATGCAATATCTTGAATGGACTGTGAAAGATGTGACGAATCATCAGATGGCAGTGGCCTGTGGCAGAGGTACTATGCTGGCTGGCTGCCGGCTGCATGGAACTCTGGGTAGGAGAGTGATTTAGTGTGTCCTGTGCAGAGATGAATTGAGGTGATGTGACCTGTGAGGTGTGTGGCTGCTTGGACTAGTTGGGACTAATGTCACTTTTATAGTTCTCGCCCACTGAGTTTAACACAGTTTAACATGGATACTAGGGCTTGGACGAGTCCAAATTTTCTACCCGGGTACCCAACCCCCTATTACCCGACCCTACCAGGGTACCGACTGGACTACCCGGACCCTAAGTCTCGCGATATATTGTTTAATGACAAAAATTATCTAGAACTCTATGGTTATACTACAAGTCACTAATGTTTGCAATTTTTTTCTGACAATGCACCAATTCCATCTGACTTTTCATATTTTTGAATAAAGATATAACTTAAGTCACCTTCAGTGTATGCATGACCAAATTGTTTAATACATGTATCTAAATATGTTTTGCCAGGGCTATGGTAAATAATTCCCAATCTGACATTTTGTACCTATCTTTTGAGACCCACAGTGGGTACCCGGGTAGAAAATTTGGACTCGTCCAAGCCCTAGTATCCATGTTAAACTGTGTACTGTGTGTTAAACTCAGTGGGCTAGAACTATAAAAGTGACCTTCTCAGTACCCACCCAACCCAGGTACCCGATTTACCCGTCCAAGCCCTAATGGATACCCCACTCTGACACAATAAAAAAACTGTGTTCAGTTTAACATGGATATCCCACTCAGACACAGAACTTCAGCAAGCCATGCTTGTCGTAAAAGGTGACTATGCTTGTCGTAAGAGGCGACTAACGGGATCGGGTGGTGAGGCTTGCTGAATAGGTTGATGCATGTCATCGATCCCAAATGCTTGGATCGATGCTCATGATATCAATCACTGGATTGTCTGGCCCAGACTCGATTATTTTCAGCCCGCCGTCAAATAGCTGGAATATGGAGTGTGGCGTTAAACAACAAACCAACCAACCAACCAGACACAGTACACTGACTCCAAGCTGACCAATCCTTGTTTTATCCCAAAAGCCAGGAAGGATAATAACAATTATCTCACCTTACATTCAAATCCTAGATTCCGATTGGTTAAGGAGCAGGCAATAATTTCCATGTAGTCCAGTCATGTCTCCCGCTGAGAAATCAATCGGAACACACCTCAGGTAAGTTGGTTATCTCAAGTATTGTTGAGCTGAAATGAACCGATGTTTATCTGAATGAATTGGGTAAAGGGAAACACCTTGGTTCGTTTGCTGTCAAAATGGCTTAATTAAAGTGTTTGACTTGGTGAAACTTCAGACAAATATTCTGGGCCTGTATGAATGAATGTCAGTGAGATAAATTTGTTGTCAACCGATCCGTTGTGGGTTATAGTGTGATGAACCCTGTGTGTGAGCCTTCATGTACCCTATGACCCCCCAGGGTCAGGGTACTTAGGCTCACACACAAGGTGCATCACACTATAAACCTCTCAGGATCAGTTGACAACTTATACGACCATTGTTTAATGTCTTTTGTTATGACACGGCCAGGGATCAAATCCCCAACCTTCAGCTCTCAGGGCAAGAGCTCTATCCACTTGACCATGGAGGTGCTCCCTAAGCACAGGGGAATTGCTCTGGCACTGATTCAGCATCTCACAAGGTAGCGAACTGCCACATCACGAAACACTGACCTTGTCATTCTGCATGCTACATCTTTTGATAGAAAGGTATAAAAGGCAGCATCCAAACAAATCACTGACTACATCTTGGAATGTTAACTTGGCATGTTTCTAATGTCAGTCAACTTGTTTTCATATTATTTACAAATTTAAAAGCTAGCAATTAATATTTTAAGTCATTTTGAAGATAATTCATATTAAATAACTTCGTTTATGACATGTAGAGAATCTCATACTCATTTCTTTTGACATTAAATATATTAACACAAGTCAATTAAAGCAGCAAGACTCCCATTCTTGCTTAGACTTTCTACTTTTATCAACAAATATTGACAGTAGCGGGTGACCTCGCCTAGGTGAACACTACCAATCTGACTGTCATTAATTTCCCAATGAACGTCAGTATGTCACGTGATTACGTTGTCAATCGAGCCGAGACATACATCGATTCAGGGTGTGAATGATGCAGGCTTGGAAGACAGACAGATCATGTATATGTCGGGTCACAGAAATGAAGCGTTCATTCGAAGCTACAACAGAGAATGCTCGACTCACCAAAAGAAATCACTGAGCTCCACACTTAGGTGTATTGCTACGTTAATATCAATCCATTTTCAGCATCACGCACTCGGGTCTGGATTTCTTTCCAACGCCAACTTTACTGGGTGCGACTTTTATTTCAAGCAAATGACATTGCTGTAGCCGCCATTTTCTGCCATTTGTAAAACAAGGGGATGTCACTCTAAATGGAATGTTTGGGACGGATGACGTCACGACGTCACGACTCTCTGCGTTCATATAGTTCACTTTAGATACGGTAATTAAAGTTTGATGTTTAATGGATTGTTTTGTTATGATTTATGTATCTGTTAATATCAGGATTGAAGTTGTATTTGTTGACGTTCATCAGGTGATGAAGACAGTGTGTCACATGATGCAAATTTACCATGAAGCGCTTCAACAAATACAACTTCAATCCTTAAGTGTTGATTATGTGACATTAAAAGTCACAAGTATGAGAATCTCTATAAATCACAAAAATATCAATTAAAGTTGAAAAACTCCTCGACTATGGTGGAATTGGAAATTATAACAGAAATATTGTTCAAATCGGAATCAAATCAAACTCACTGATCCCTTAATGGAAGCTTCTCATAGAGATGTTTTCTTCTTATTTGTTCCATACCAGGGTCCACTTGCACAAAGCGATCTTAGCGCTAAGATGATCTTAACTCCCATACTTTAACATAGGCTTACAATAGTCTTAGCGCTAAGATCGTTTTGTGCAAGTGGGCCCAGGAGTGAGGGGGGAGTAATATTATGCCCAGTAAGCAATATTCAGCCATACTATGCAATCTTTTTTTTGTAAATAATCAAATCTGGGTCAGGCGAACCAGTTAATGAAACATCCATCCAATCCTCATTCAGACGGTCTTCTGGTCTCACGGATAGAGCATCTGCCCAAAAATAATTTCATGCATGATAAAAAAACACACAGAACATTGACATACAGTCCCTTTAAAACCCATCTCCTCACCTTTGACTCATTCAACGACTATGGGCCTGCCATGTTTTTAGATTCCAAAGGGTAAGCCATGACACATGCACTGCAGTGGAGCTTTAACCAGTATGTCGTCCAATTTCTGCAGGAAGTGCTCCAATACGTCCATGTTGGCATAACATGCACAACGATAAAAAACACTGTTTCTTTGGTAGCTGCTCATGTTTGCTAATGCCATGGAAAGGAAAAGATTTCATTGATTTTCTAGACCTTAGAAAAACTGGCAAAACATACAAAGCTGACATCAATAAAGATTCCAATTCGTGTACAGTACAGGAGTTGCTGACACAGTCAGGATCAAGAGATGTTGGGATTCGTCCTGACTGAAAAGACACACTAACTGTTTCCTCAATACAGGAAGTCCAAAGTGATGCATCTGAACCAACCATCATTTAATGACCAGCAATCAGGGATACAAACTCACAACACTTGCCAAGGTTTTCTACTCATTTGCCGATGAATGTTAAAGATTTCATATGAAAAGACATGGTTGAAATGTTCTATGCAATACAAGTAAATCAACAATTAAAGTAGCCAAACTCCCATGCATGCCGTAGAGATTTTCTACTTTTATCAGTCCGCCTCCATGGTCTAGTGTTAGAGCATCTGCCCGGAGAGCAGAAGGTCCGGAGTTTGATCCCCGGCTGCATCATACCAAGAGACGTTAAAAGATGGTACTTGTTGTTACCCTGTCTGGTGCTCGGCACTAAGAGGCTTAAACAAGGACTGGTCAGCTCGGAGTCAGTATACTGTGTCTGAGTGGGGTATTCATGTTAAAACTGCGGCATGGTATCTCAGTGAGCTAGCACTATAAACTGGCATCAGTCCAAACTAGCACAAGCAGCCACACACACACATGTGCATGCACGTCGCTATATAAGTGCAATAATCTTGGACGCGACGTTAAACCCAATTTCACCTCACCTTCTACTACTTATCCACAAGTGTTATATTTGATTTGAAAAGACACGAGGTTGAGATCTTATTTATCATGCATCCAGCACCATTCATAATCATTAAGTACAAACACAATTTCATGACCATGTTGAGACCATTTACAAATGATTACAATTAGGGCTGGGACGGGTAACTCGGGTACCGGGGTCGAGTGGACACTGAGTAGGACCCGGTTACCCAGAGGACTACCCTGACCCGTGGTTAGTCACATGATACATTGTTTAAATGACAAAAATGATTTAAATCTCTATCGTTACACTACAAGCCACTAATGTTCAAATTTCTTTCTGACAATGCACCCATTTCATCTGACTTTTATATGTTAAGATAAAGACAAAACTTCAGTCAACTTCATTGTGCATGACCAGATCATTTTTTATGTGTACCTAAATACATTTTGCCAGGGCTATGGTGATGGTCAGACAAACTTTACCCGATCGGACAGTTTGTACCTATCTCTTGAGACCTACAGCGGGTTTTGGGTAGGGTAGGGTAATAATGGGGTGGGTACCCGGGTAATCTCGTCCCAGGTCTAATTACAATGCATCACTTTCAAAAATATATATCAAAATACACTTCTATTATTCGGTTGAAACATTTTTGGTCTAGACATTTCAGGTAAGAGTATGGTATCTATAGGAATTACTTCAAACATACTGTTTTATGTGTGTTCATAAATGACAAAATTGTTGAATGAAAAGCCTTTCTCTTTTTCGACATGGAAGGAAAAGAAGCCCATTCCAGATGCCCCAGGCCTCAGAAAAGCTGGCAAAACAAGCTGACATCAAGGATTTCAATTCTTGTACAACACAGGTAGAGAGTCAAGAGGCAGACACAGGGGGATCTGCCTTGACTGAGAACTTACACAAAATGTTTCCTAGGTACAGGAAGTCCATCCCAGGGAATAAGCCATGCAGCTAAACCAACCATCATATGGTGATTAGTGGTCAGGGATGCGAAATCACGACTAGCATAAATCTGGTCAAGCTCCTTCCCAGTGCGTGACATCTTCATTACCTTTGGATATCATCGCTGCCAACATGCAGCGGCCATTACAAGAATCTGGAAAATTTTCCCTCTAACCCCAAATGTTGTGACATGTATATTTTTGTGTATGTCTTTGGGAATGCCATCCTAGTGAACTGGAAAAAGATTTACAACTGATTTACTATTTTCCAAATGGATTTACGTTTGTTTGTATAATCAGATTGGTTTGAGATTGCAGACAAAATGAAAAGTGTCCAACTTTTCTTTGCATTCTCTTTGCAACTTATGACATTATAGTTCAAACAGAAATAGAAATTGACAAAGAAACAAAATAATTTAGCCGGGGGGAGAGTATTGACATCACAACTGTCATCATTTGTTTGTAAACGTAACGGTCTGTCGGTTGCGAATACATCTTCATGCATGTTTGTGGCCACCTAGCATTATCTACTATAGTCTGGAAGGTAATTTAAGGTACCGACGTTTACTACAATATCTGAAAAACTATCGGACCTACTCCAGTCAAAGTTGGTATGAGATTATTAAACAGTCATACATAACTTGATATTACATTTAAAGTTGAACCAATCAACTCAACTCGAAAGGGTGCACAGGAATCACGCACGAACGAATACGGTGTTAGTGTTGGGCGTCTCAACGTGTGTGATTCCCGTGCACCCTTTCAAGTTGAGTTGATTGGTTCAACTGTGTCATATGGCCCTGTGACGCAATTTTAAAATTACCTTCCAAATTATAAGTGGGGAGCTATGACTGGTGACAGTGACAGGATTGAGACCTTTAACACACGTCCACAAGTGCCCTTGTATACCAGTTACTTTGGCTGAACAAATAGACTATCATTTAAGGCATTGTAAGGGCCAAAACATTGTAATGCAATATACCATATTCAACATAATAAGAGCCCAGGGCGCTCTCAAAATTAGAAATAGGGGGCTCTTATTAGAATACAATTTTGGTGAAAAACAACAGAGTTGAAAGATTGTAAATTGTGTATTTGTGTAGATTTTAGGTTAAACGATATAAATCATAACAAAACTCGTTACATTTTTTTACCTCAATATACTTAAATATATTGCAATATGGATCATTTGAAAAACATAATGCTGTATACTTTAATACCCATAATACCATACAGTCCTACACATATTGATAGATTAGTAATAAAACAGAGAGAAAAAACACAAACATAGTAACAATTGACCTATTGGATTACAACACTAAAAAGTGGAAAAGAATCAATTTGAAAGTGTCAAGTTCAATACTTTGATGAATGCGACTGATATGCTGATCAGTGAGACCGACAAGACCAGCATGCAACATTTTTAGAAGTCTTCTGTATTTAATTACCCACTGCCGAACAACCAGACTTTTTCACACACAATTTTGTACCCATTAAATTATAAAAAGTCTGGCCAAACACAAAAATGTACAGCTAAATTAATATCTCAAGACTTGTCACAGTGTTTCTACATCCCAGTGTGATATAATAGATCTGTCTGTTAATACAACTCACGAAGAGCTGTAATATTATTGATGCCGCATTAAACAATAATCACTCACTCACTTCAAATAACGGTATTACCTCCTACTCGTGTTATTTTGAGTTGTGATCCTGTCTCGGTACCTGTGTAATTTAGTTGCCATAGCAACATGGATTAGGCAGAAAACTCAGACAAAAGACATCCAGCCAATAAAGACTGTAGCTCACCTCCCTAAATCAAGACTTGTTTCTTTCTTTACAATTTTTGTATGAAATGGTTGATAGGTGAACGAGTGAGTCAGTTTGATTTTATGCTGCTTTTAGCAATATTTCAGCAATATCACGATGGGGGACACCAGAAATGGGCTTCACACATTGCATCCATGTCGGGAATTGAACCCGGGTCTTCGCTGTGACGAGCGAACACTTTTTAACCACTAGGCAACCCGACTGCCCCGATAGTAGGAGAGAAATGAAAGGCAAGAAAGGGATTATCTTGTTATGTTGTCACATAGAGACAGACTCACCGGTCATGACGTCAAAGGGACAATATGTCGATGGTTCTGGGTGTTTTTAAATCATGCATGAAATAATTTCTGTGTGACATCAAATGCCTGAATCAATTCCAAAACCAAAACAATAGAGCTCTGCAAAATGAAGCCGAAATGTAAGCGCTAAGCAGAGTAAACTGGCTTCAGTCATGCTTTATATTAGAGGCAGATTAAACAGAAAGCTTGTGTAGTTTTCTTACAAATGAGTTATGAAATATTAATTGCCAGCTTGATGACAATAGAGGCCAGTGTTTATCAAAGCCTAGATTACAACCTAATAATGCCTCAGTTGCATGAAGCTAATCACTCTCCTACCCAGAGTTCCTTGCGGCCAGCCTGGTACCTCTGTCCAATCATCACATCTAACACATAGTCCATTCATGTGTTTTTCATCTGTTTCATTTAGAACCCCTATATCATAGCCCTACGGAGAGCTGGCAATACTTTGATGTGTAAAGCTATATTGTCATGAACCTCACTGTCACAGTTGTAGTAGCATATCTATAAACGTATATCTACCTAATTATGCAAAACAATATGTAAAGACTTGCATTAGGCTCCTCTGTTCTTATTTCATTAGTAGTGCGTTTGTTTCCGAACACGATTCCAAGAGATTAGTCCAGTCACATGATAAGCCAACACACGCGGTGTGGTCACTGGAGCAGAAAGGTTTCTGGTGGAATAAGGCTCTTGTTCACAAACAATGCTTCAGAACGGTCGATACACTTTAAACATACTTTATCCATAACAGTGGTGAAAAGTGCTCAAATAGGCTGACCTCCCTTTCTCACTTGGATACAAAAAAGCTTGATTACATTGCAGGTATTCAAAATCAATGTCTGTTTTTCAGAAGACAATTTAATGTTTTGAAGTACTTTGACAGTGGATTGTGGGACAAGATGAAAGACAATGACCTAACTGCAGGACCCAGACATGTAGAAAGCTTGAAGGTCTCCGTGATGTATAGGAAAAGTTGCAGGTCAGTTGATTATTTTGGCCAAGTTGCGGGTCCCAGACATGTGTGACAAGTTGCAGGTCACTTCCGTGAGGGACAAGGTGATGGTCACAGTGACATGTGGGACAAGTTGCAGGTCACTGATGTGAGGGACAAGGTGATGGTCACAGTGACACGTGGGACAAGTTGCACGTCACTGACGTGAGGGACAAGGTGATGGTCACAGTGACATGTGGGACAAGTCGCAGGTCACTGACGTGAGGGACAAGGTGATGGTCACAGTGACATGTGGGACAAGTCGCAGGTCACTGACTTGAGGGACAAGGTGATGGTCACAGTGACATGTTGGACAAGTTGCAGGTCACTGACGTGAGGGACAAGGTGATGGTCACAGTGACATGTGGGACAAGTTGCAGGTCACTGACGTGGGGGACAAGGTGATTGTCACAGTGACATGTGGGACAAGTTGCAGGTCATTGACGTGAGGGACAAGGTGATGGTCACAGTGACATGTTGGACAAGTTGCAGGTCACTGACGTTAGGGACAAAGTGATGGTCACAGTGACATGTGGGACAAGTTGCACGTCACTGACGTGAGGGACAAGGTGATGGTCACAGTGACATGTGGGACAAATTGCAGGTCACTGACGTGAGGGACAAGGTGATGGTCACAGTGACATGTGGAACAATTAGGTCAGTTAATTATTTTGGCCAAGTTTCGGATCACTGACGTGAGGGACAAGGTGATGGTCACAGTGACATGTGGGACAAGTTGCAGGTCACTGACGTGAGGGACAAGGTGATGGTCACAGTGACATGTGGGACAAGTTGCAGGTCACTGACGTGAGGGACAAGGTGATGGTCACAGTGACATGTTGGACAAGTTGCAGGTCACTGACGTGAGGGACAAGGTGATGGTCACAGTGACATGTGGGACAAGTTGCAGGTCACTTCCGTGAGGGACAAGGTGATGGTCACAGTGACATGTTGGACAAGTTGCAGGTCACTGACGTTAGAGACAAAGTGATGGTCACAGTGACATGTGGGACAAGTTGCACGTCACTGACGTGTGAGACAAGGTGATGGTCACAGTGACATGTGGGACAAATTGCAGGTCACTGACGTGTGGGACAAGGTGATGGTCACAGTGACATGTGGAACAATTAGGTCAGTTAATTATTTTGGCCAAGTTGCGGATCACTGACGTGAGGGACAAGGTGATGGTCACAGTGACATGTGGGACAAGTTGCAGGTCACTGACGTGAGGGACAAGGTGATGGTCACAGTGACATTTGGGACAAGTTGCAGGTCACTGACGTGAGGGACAAGGTGATGGTCACAGTGACATTTGGGACAAGTTGCAGGTCACTGATGTGAGGGACAAGGTGATGGTCACAGTGACATGTGGAACAATTAGGTCAGTTAATTATTTTGGCGAAGTTTCGGGTCACTGATGTGAGGGACAAGGTGATGGTCACAGTGACATGTGGAACAATTAGGTCAGTTAATTATTTTGGCGAAGTTTCGGGTCACTGACGTGAGGGACAAGGTGATGGTCACAATGACATGTGGGACAAGTTGCAGGTCACTGACGTGAGGGACAAGGTGATGGTCACAGTGACATTTGGGACAAGTTGCAGGTCACTGACGTGAGGGACAAGGTGATGGTCACAGTGACATTTGGGACAAGTTGCAGGTCACTGATGTGAGGGACAAGGTGATGGTCACAGTGACATGTGGAACAATTAGGTCAGTTAATTATTTTGGCGAAGTTTCGGGTCACTGACGTGAGGGACAAGGTGATGGTCACAATGACATGTGGGACAAGTTGCAGGTCACTGACGTAAGGGACAAGGTGATGGTCACAGTGACATGTGGGACAAATTGCAGGTCACTGACATGAGGGACAAGGTGATGGTCACAGTGACATGTGGGACAAGTTGCAGGTCACTGACGTGAGGGACAAGGTGATGGTCACAGTGACATGTGGGACAAGTTGCAGGTCACTGACGTGAGGGACAAGTTGATGGATAGTGACATGTTGGACAAGTTGCAGGTCACTGACGTGAGGGACAAGGTGATGGTCACAGTGACATGTGGGAGAAGTTGCAGGTCATTGACGTGAGGGACGAGGTGATGGTCACAGTGACATGTTGGACAAGTTGCAGGTCACTGACGTGTGAGACAAGGTGATGGTCACAGTGACATGTTGGTCAAGGTGAAGGTGAAATTATGAGCACAAAGTGAGGTGAAATGGGGTTTAATGTTGTGCTTATTCCACTTATATTGTGATGTGTGCATGCATGCTTGAACTCGTTCAGGCTAAAGTCATTTTCACAAAGCTAGCCCACTGAGATACCATGCTGCAGTTTAACATGGATACCCAACTCAGACACTGTATACATAGTCCTTGTTTTATTGCCGAGCACCGTGCAGGGTAAAAACAAGTACCATATTAAAAACATATTTTAGTGTGACTGCATCTGCAGTTGCTCTTTTCACTAAACCACGGAGTCTTGTTAGGACAATGTTCAAGCTATACTCATCTTCTGTATATCATGATTCAGCAACAACATAATGTGGAACATCCAAAGTTTCTGGTATTTCAAATAGGGCTTTACTGGACCTCCTAATACCCGACCCTACCCAGTACCCACTGTAGGTCTCAAGGGTACATAATGTCCAATTGGGAATTGTTTTACTGGAGCCCTGGCATAAACTATTTAGATACACATATAAATGATCTCATCTTGCATGCAGGAAAATGACTGAAGCTCTATCTTTACTCAAGCAGGAAGGAATGCGAACATTAGCGACTTGTGGTGTATCTTTGGAGTTATAGTGAATTTTGGTTATAAAACAATATATCATCTGTTTCCTGTAGTGCATGGTTTTCATGTAGTCCCCGGGGTTTCTGGGGTTCATGGGGATCCTGTAGTGCATGGGGTTCACGGGGGTCCTGTAGTGCATGGGGTTCATGTAGTGCATGGCATTCATGGGGGTCCTGTAGTGCATGGGGTTCATGGGGGTCCTGAAGTGCATAGGGTTCATGGGGATCCTGTAGTGCATGGGGTTCATGGGGGTCCTGTAGTGCATGGGGTTCATGGGGGTCCTGTAGTGCATGGGGTTCATGTAGTGCATGGGGTTCATTTGGGTCCTGTAGTGCATGGGGTTCATGGGGGTCCTGTAGTGCATGGGGTTCATGGGGGTCCTGTAGTGCATGGGGGTCCTGTAGTGCATGGGGTTCATGGGGGTCCTGTAGTGCATGGGGGTCCTGTAGTGCATGGGGTTCATGTAGTGCATGGAGTTCATGGGGTCCTGTAGTGCATGGGGTTCATGGGGGTCCTGTAGTGCATGGGGTTCATGGGGGTCCTGTAGTGCATGGGGTTCATGTAGTGCATGGGGTTTATGGGAGTCCTGTATTGCATGGAGTTCATGGGGTTCCTGTAGTGCATGGGGTTCATGTAGTGCATGGGGTTTATGGGAGTCCTGTATTGCATGGGGTTCATGGGGTTCCTGTAGTGCATGGGGTTCCTGGGGTTCCTGTAGTGCATAGGGTTCATTGGGGTCCTGTAGTGCATGGGGTTCATGTAGTGTATGGGGTAGTGCATTGGGGGCCTGTAGTGCATGGGGTTCATGGGGCTCCTGTAGTGCATGGGGTTCATGGGGGTCCTGTAGTGCCTGGGGTTCCTGGGGTTCCTGTAGTGCATGGGGTTCATGGGGGTCCTGTAGTGCATGGGGTTCCGGTAGTGCATGGACTTCATGGGGGTCCTGTAGTGCATAGAGTTCATGGGGGTCTTGTTGTGCATGGGGTTTAATGGGGTGTATGTAGTGCATGGAGTTCATGTAGTGCATGGGGGTCCTGTAGTGCATGGGGTTCATGGGGGTCCTGTAGTGCATGGGGTTCATGTAGTGCATGGGGTTTATGGGAGTCCTGTATTGCATGGAGTTCATGGGGTTCCTGTAGTGCATGGGGTTCCTGGGGTTCCTGTAGTGCATAGGGTTCATTGGGGTCCTGTAGTGCATGGGGTTCATGTAGTGTATGGGGTAGTGCATTGGGGGCCTGTAGTGCATGGGGTTCATGGGGCTCCTGTAGTGCATGGGGTTCATTGGGGTCCTGTAGTGCCTGGGGTTCATGGGGCTCTGTAGTGCATGGGGTTCCTGGGGGTCATATAGTGCATGGGGTTCCTGGGGGTCCTGTAGTGCATGGGGTTCATGGGGGTCCTGTAGTGCATAGAGTTCATGTGGGTCTTGTAGTGCATGGGGTTCATGGGGTGTATGTAGTGCATGGAGTTCATGTAGTGCATGGGGGTCCTGTAGTGCACGGGGTTCATGGGGTTCATGGGGGTCCTGTAGTGCATGGGGGTCCTGTAGTGCATAGAGTTCATGGGGGTCTTGTAGTGCATGGGGTTCCTGGGGTGTATGTAGTGCATGGAGTTCATGTAGTGCATGGGGGTCCTGTAGTGCACGGGGTTCATGGGGGTACTGTAGTGCATGGGGGTCCTGTAGTGCATGGGGTTCCGGTAGTGCATGGACTTCATGGGGATCCTGTAGTGCATGGGGTTCATGGGGGTCATGTAGTGCATGGGGTTCATGGGGGTCCCGTAGTGCATGGGGTTCATGGGGGTCCTGTAGTGCATGGGGTTCCGGTAGTGCATGGACTTCATGGGGATCCTGTAGTGCATAGAGTTCATTGGGGTCATGTAGTGCATGGGGTTCATGGGGTGTATGTAGTGCATGGAGTTCATGTAGTGCACGGGGTTCATGGGGTTCAATCAGAATTCATCAGAATCCTGTGCCATGCTTGTATGACTAACACAAACACCATCAAAGTAAAGAATTCAAAATGTGAAAACATTTGTATGCCATTTGTTTAGCTTTAGGAGAAGTATTTGTCGGTGTGAGTGGAAAAGAATTGTCAAGAGAAATGTAAATTTTGAGACACAATAATTGCCGGTTACAGAATTGTTATTTTGAGGGAAACTGGTTAGAAGCGACAGAAAGATCTGTAAAGTAATTTTAATTAATCTGGCCTTAAATCAAATTGCCAGAGAAAGTACATATCATTTTATATAGAGTCTGACAAAATAGCAATTTTTTCAAGAAATGTTAAGCAAACATGTACTTAAATAGTTTGTTTTAGGAGAATGTATTCAAGAAATATGAATAAAATAAACTTAAGTAGTGTGTTTTTGGAGAATTTGTTCAGGAATATATATCAAAGAAACTTGTATTTATATGGTTGATTTTAGGGCCATTTATTCAGGAAATATTAAGGAAACATGTACTTAAATAGCTGGTTTTAGGTGAAGTAATTCAGGAAATATTAAGGAAATATATACTTAAATATATACTTAAATGTTGTTTCGGGGGAATTTATTCAGAAAAGTTAGTTTCGTTTATAAAATCTAAAACATTGTGTGTAGAATTTTCGGAAACTTTAGAATTGAGCTCATGATGGCCTCCCTGCCAGTTGAGGAATATTGCTAAAGGTGGCATAAAACTATATTCACGCACCCATCCACCCACCTACTCACCATGATAAAATAGGTAAACATGTTAGGAAGTTCTGCAAAAAAATGGCAAAGTTGAATGAAGCTCATGCAGTGAAGTGATGTACACACTAGGATTAAAGTTTGTATGAAATCTGCTATTTCAAACACAAACACACCACAGAGACAATGTGAGATCAGTGAGTGAGTGAGTGAGTGAGTGAGTGAGTGAGTGAGTGAGTGAGTGAGTGAGTGAGTGAGTGAGTGAGTGAGTGAGTGAGTGAGTGAGTGAGTGAGTTGGGTTTAATGCCACTATAAGCAATAAGACATAAATAATGGTGGAGGGAACCTATAACTTTGAGATAAGGCAACAAAGTCTTCAGATTGGACCAGGGTGCCAATGTACAAAGCGATCTTAGCGCTAAGGTGATCATAACTCCCATACCTTAACATAGACTTATGACAGTCCTAGCGCTAAGATTGTTTTGTGCAACGACACCCAGGTCACATTACAGGAAGACATCTGAAGATTATGACTGTCCTTAATTGCATCCATTAAGATTGTCTTATTATCTTAGCGCTAAGACTGCTTGATGAAATGGGACCCTGAGCATAAAGGTATTCAAGGACATGAACTGAAATATCAGTAATGGTTCTCCCTTCCTGGAACATAAAACCATTTTACTGTGAATAAAGCATTTCCTAGTACAATGGATTCCCTTTAGTGTTCAGAATTAATTATTGATTGATCGATGATGAATAACAATTCATATGAAGCAGTTTATGATAACCATCTCATATTGAATGACATCGTCAATAAAGATTTACATCAGATGTTGATGCAAATATTCCACAATGTATTTGCATCAATATCTGATGTAGATCAATGAAAACATGTTACCCTAGTAAAGCATCATCAGGGTGAGTGAGTGAGTGAGTGAGTGAGTGAGTGAGTGAGTGAGTGAGTGAGTGAGTGAGTGAGTGAGTGAGTGAGTGAGTGAGTTGGATGTTTGGGTGTTTGGGTGAATTTATTCACTGCCATTTTCAGAAAGAAATACCCACATATCATAGTGCCATTGCATGGATTATTAATACAACATCAAACCACCAAGGAAAGTTTTGAACTGTCACAGTCGTTCTTGTATTTCATCCTGTTCTATCTATGAAAGTAGATACTTTTCAGAGTTAAAATAGCTAGCATTTATTGATTTGAACTATATTTTCTATCCCCAAACAGTGAATGGATACAATCAAACCTTATTTGGGATGGACTCGGAACAGCTGACAAGGAATAAACAGTCGATCCCTATTTTCCCACTCATCTGAAGAACAAGGGTACTTCATTTCATGGCCTTTGTGTTGGTTATCTGGCATATCAAGATTTATTACCTACTAGGTGATATTTGGCAACTGTTATAACTGCTTTATCAAACGCTGACTTCATAGGGTGCCCAGTGATATTTGGCAACTGTTATAACTGCTTCATCAAACACTGACTTCATAGGATACCCAGTGATATTTGGCAACTGTTATAACTGCTTCATCAAACGCTGACTTCATAGGGTACCCAGTGATATTTGGCGACTGTTATAACTGCTTCATCAAACGCTGACTCCATGGGGTGGCCAGTGATATTTGGCAACTGTTATAACTGTTTTATCAAACACTGACTTCATAGGGTACCCAGTGATATTTGGCAACTGTTATAACTGTTTTATCAAACACTGACTTCATAGGGTGCCCAGTGATATTTAGCGACTATTATAACTGATTGAGCAAACAATGACTTGACAATATTTGTGAGATATAAGTGATATCTGTCACTGTTTCGAGTGCAGCTGTTATGACAAAAAAGGGGTACTGGTATTTTCCACAATAATTAATGATTTACACAGCTGTTCTAAGTGTTATCTCTTTAAAATCAGATCTTAGTTCTTGCTATCACAAAACAAAGATCTGAGAACATCCCATTACAGGCATCCTCCTGAGGCAAGAGAGTCAACTGACTATAAAAGTCAAGTTTCCACCCTTGCCGAACTAGGCTGGTATTATGGAGTTACATTTTGGCTGGACTAACGAGTCTATGCATAGTCCAATCAAAATCGCGCACCGAAATCAAAATCCGGTTCATAAAGTGTCATGCAGATTTCGGTCGACTGCAGGATTTGCAAAGCATGTGCACCGCTAACTCGTTGTCAACAGATGTTTTTAATCAAGGTGCTCACGTGATTTGATGCACTTTGTAATGTAAGACTCGTTTTATCACAATACAGATCTTGATTATCGATCAGATCGTCTTGACTGGGCGCTACCGTTTTGTTTGAAGCAAATGCAAGTGATACGAGAGGTTGAATCTGATTGGTCAATAGGAGAGGCATGGAAAGGACATAACTCGTAATAGCCACTGATGGCGCTACGATCGAGCCCAGGAATTCCAGCCAAGTTCGGCAAGGGTGGAAACTGGACTTTTAAAGTCAGTTTACTCTCTTGCCTCAGGAAGATGATTACAGGTCACGCCAGAAGACCTTTCATGACTTTTGATTGACCAATGAAATGACTAACATGAAGTCAACATTAGCCAATCAAAATGCAGCTTTCTCGAGCTATACTGCACAAGTTTCAAACAGGCAAATATGCTTTGAAAAATATTTGAACAATTGACAATTCTAAATTTGAAAACTGAACAAAAGAATGTTTTGGAATGTCTAATAGATGGCCTAGATTGTATGGCTGTACGTCCCATGGGCAATAAAGAGTCTCTTCCATTCAAATGTTTATCCCACTGAAGCAAGAGTTCGACAATTATTTTGACAAATTTAGTCATAAAACCCGTAAATGTCGTTTGAATACCCCCTGTAAGAAGTTGCATGATTACAAAACACATTCTTATTTTCACTTTCTTGATCTGGTAAGCGATGCTCTGATTGGTCAGATAAAAGGCCATTCTGTCATGACCGCTTATGGAGAGGTCCTCAGATCTTAGTTTTGTGGTAGCGAGAACTAAAATCTGAATTTAATGAGATCATTCATAATATACATAACACTCTGTACATATAACAATATTGCTGTGTGTTTTTTCTTCAACCCCTGAACCTTCAACTTATAAACAATGTATACATATACCACACAGGGTGTGAGTCACCGTCACCATCTGGCCACTCTTGCACTCACACAGGCAATGATTAAACTCATATCCTGAGCCCCCGCAGAATTTCGAAAACCATGTACGGATTCGCAGGAGGTATTCTCGTTTGTTTCTGTCTAATCAGCTGATTAGTGTTTTCCCCTAAGACCTATTTGTAGTCGGAGCCTCTGTGGCGCGTCTTGCTAAATGGCTCAATCTATACCAGTTTCACATATACTGCATTTGGGACTTATTCTAAACTCTATTGTTGAACTCAGCTTAATTATCTCCATGGCATTGGTGTTTGAGGTGTGGTGAAATTGGGTTTAACATCGCGTCCAAGATTATTGCACTTATATAGCGACATGCATGCACATGTGTGTGTGTCTGGCTGCTTGTACTAGTCCGGACTGATGCCATTTTATAGTGCTAGCCCACTGAGATACCATGCTGCAGTTTAACATTAATACCCAACTCTGACACAGTATGCTGACTCCGAGCCGACCAGTCCTTGTTTTAGCCCCTTAATACCGAGCACCAGACAGGGTAACAATAAGTACCATCTTTTAACGTCTTTTGGTATGACGCGGCCAGGGATCGAACCCTGGACCTTCTGCTCTCCGGGCAGATGCTCTACCTCTGGACCATGGAGGTGGTCGCATTGGTGTTTGAAGATATTCAGATTTATTCCACATACTTTACAATGTGAAATTCTCTATATGGGTTCCTATGTAATCGCTTCAAAGAACCCCACAGGGATTCAGGGTTAGAATAGTTGGTTTTTACTGGACACAAAAAAGTTCCTTTCTGGTAAAAAATGCACTCAACTTTCAAGTTGTCAATGGATGATGTGCAGTTATATGACATCAGCAAAATGTTTGAAAATCAGTCATAATATGGTTGAAATTTGTTAATTTGTGATGTTAATTTTAACACACTAGCTCTTTAAAATCAATTGAACCATGCCAAATTTAACAAACTAGGAACCCCTTATGTTCTTGACATGGACCCCAAAATGTATCACTGAGAGTCCCTTCAATATCCAGTGTATGTCTTAAAGGACAAAAGAATATGGATTGATTGACTATGATAATATTGAACAGTCCCAGATGGATTCTGCAATTCCATGATTGTGGAAAGATTTGCAGAA